GAAGAACGCTGATGGTGCCCGGCTAGCATCTGGGGTAAAGTCTTAAAGATTAGCAAGCAGCCACCTTAGCTGAGAAGCAACAAAGACCACATGGAAGAAGCACACCAGCCTGTGTGATTACGAGGTTTTTATCGGATCAGGTATTAGGCATCAAAGAACAAAAAATCCTATCATTGTGAATGAGGGGAGTGGAGAGTGGAGACCCAAAGCCCATCTGTAGGCAATTGGACATCCCCTTACAGAAGGGTCTCAGGGAAGAGACGAGCTAGTCAGGGTGCAGTATTGCAATGATGAAACATACAACTTTCCTCTAGTTCTTTAATGCTTCCTACCCCACTACCCACCAACTATCGTGACCCCAATTCTACCTTACAAATCCAGCTGGACCAGAGCATGTACACAGGTACAGGTAAGAGCTGTAAACACAGGGAATCCAAGACAGATAAATCCCTAAGGCCCAATATCGAAAATAGCAATACCAGGAGAGTTAAGGGTAAGGTGGGGAGGGGAGAAGGGGGAAACCAATCACAATGATCTACATATAACCCCTTCCCAGGGGGATGGACAAGAGAGCCCCCAATAAAATGACTTTAAAAAACCCAAACTGTAGCATTCCAGCATCTAAAATTTAAAGTAGTAATAAAGTCATTAGTGTAAAACTTTTGTTCAGTTTTGCGATAACCTCCTTTCCGTATCAGAGGCTTACTGTCAGGTAGAATTTCTAGTCTTTGCCTTAAGACTCTACAGGCCACACCTCAGAGCTGTGAAAGAAATACTAACAGCGAATGGTGCTACTGTGTAACACCTTTAGCATGGGATAGAAAGAAACAAAAAAGACTTTAATAAAAACAATCCCACAGAGGCCATTTATTGTGGTTGAGTAAGAACCTAAGGGTAATGAAGACACTATGAGCCATGTTTTAGAACTATACTCATAACAAAGAAACTTTAAAAAAGGGGGAGTGGGGGAGCTCTTGCCCTCAGCTTCTCGCTTCAATCATCAGTTCTAGTTGGACACGCTTTGTAGCAGAGTAATGTTATCTCCTTTCAGCATGATCCGTCCTGCAAAACAAAAACAGTCATCACTAGTATCTCTCTCTCTCTCTCACACACACACACCATTTCTCTTTACCCCTGCATTTCCCAGTGCTCCCATTTGTGAGGGTGGCGACATGAGCTGTGTGGCAAACTTAGAGCATGCTCTAGCCCCGTGCTGACAACTGTGGGCACACTTAAGACTCCAGCCTGCAGTAATCGTTCCTACATTTACTCCAACTGAGGACACTTTCCCAACCAGCAAGGTCAGTGGTCCACCGGCAATCGCAGCTCTGGGCCATCTGCTCCTGTAAGTGCGCAGCTTCTGAACCTCTGTGCAGGTCTCTGAGTCAGGACAGGCGCAACAGCGATGGGTCTGATCTCATTACAGCCAGTTTGCCTCTCTGCGTATCTTTAATTTGAAAGAGCAGGCTTTCCTGAGAATCGCATGCCATTCCTCAGAACTGACTTCCCATCTACTTAGTACAGATTCTGGGAATCCTCATGGGCTGGAAAACAGAGACACCTGGAAGTCTGGTCAAAGTACTGGTGAGCTGGGAAGCAGGCACCAACCAACCAGAGAACATAACATGAGCAAGAACCGTCCATTAACAGAATGCTAACACAAACGATTGCCTCTTAATGAAGGCACAAATCCAAACGTCTCCTTTTTATTTGGGTAAATAAATGCCATCCATTGCATTATTCAACAATGTGAGTTTTTACCATGTGCCAGGAATGGCATTACCCACCAAGTATATTAGGCACTCAATATCTCAGAAAAAAACCCACCAAAAACACTGCCATCGAGTTGATGCCAACTCATAGGAACCCTGTAAGGAAGGCAGAGCAGACGGGTCCCTGAGATTGTAACTCTCTACAGGAGTAGAAAGCTTTGTCTTCTTCCCACACAGAGCAACTAACTGGTGGTTTTGAACTCCTGGCCTTGTGGTTAGCAGCCCACTGAGTAACCACCATGCCACTGAGTACCTAGGGAGCAAAAATATGCCCACAACTCATGCACTTTTAAGAGTTCCTGATACAATGCTAAATACATTAATAAAATAATCCCACTAGCGAGTGCTTTATTACAAATACAGAGAGGACATCACACTTCAGGCAAAGTCAAATTCAACCAACCCCAACACCAACCCGGGGCTTTGGTAGGAAATGATGTTAAAGTCAGAGTTCTGACGACAGAGGGTATAGTACATACAAAAGGGGCATGTCGGGGCAGTGGGCAGACTCAAGGCATCAGAGGAAGACAAATGCGGCTGCAGCTCAGAGAACCATACAGACCAGCCTACAGAGGGAGACCAGGCCAGATTGTGCAAGGTGGGCTTTACAGAACAACCTTAAAAAAAAAAAAAAAGCCTACAGGAGCCCGAGCGGCCACCCATTAGGCTGTGATCTGCAAGGTCAGCAGTTTTCCCCAAGGGAGAAGCAGTCTTGAAACTCAAAGGGGGCAGGCAGTTCCACGCTGTCCTATCAGGGCTATAGGAGCCCCACTGGCACGGTGGTCCCTCGCTCGGCTGCAGTCCGTAACGCAGGCAGCTGGAGACGGGGCTTTCCGCTCCCGTACACAGTTACTCTTGGAAATGGAAAGGGGGCAGAGCTCTAACCAGATGGCATCGACTCGGTGGCAATGAATTATTTATTGATTTTTTAAAAAGTAATTAGAGAAAGACTTTCTAGCAATGGTATGGCAAGATCACAGCGGCAGTTTTCAAAAAGCTGACTGCGGCTAGTGTGGAGAGCAAACTGGAGGGGGATAGAGGCTGCAAAGAAACCTACGAGTCGGCCAGGTGGCTAGTGGTGCCGCCCAGCAAAGCTCCACTGAGTGAGTGAGGGCAACGAACTGATTTTGGCTTATGATAGACTGACTTTGAGACGTTTCTGAGACATTTAACTGGGAATGCTGACAGACTCTGATGAGAGGTCTGCGCTACACACTTCCAGTTGTTGGTCAACATACCAATCATTGAAGCTGTAGTCTGGAATCCCTAAAGGCAGTACTGAGTGACAGGGAAATGTAGACAGAAACCTGGAACCACTCAAGTGCTTAAGGACTAGGGCTTTCTACTCCTGCAAAGTTACAGCTTCAGGAACCCACAGGGGCAGTCCTTCCCTGTCCTAAAGGGGCGCTGCGGGTCAGCAGCCACTCCATGCCGGGAGCGAGAGGGCTAAGAGAATGAGCCTCGGAAGTCAGAAAGAGAATCATTAAGGACAGAAAATAAAATCCAGAGTGTGGTGGTACAGAACCAAGGGGACTAGGTGGTGTAGGGGGGAGTGGAGACAGTTGTGGCAGAGGCAGCTTAAAGTTCACTACAATGAAAACTGACGTCCGCAATTGGATTCAGAAGCAGAAATCAAGTAAAGCCTGAGGATGCTTTCAAAAGTTCTATTCCCCCACACTACAACTTCTGAAATGCAAAGTAAATTAAGCATAACCTGAGCTGGCGCTGAATAATCTCTGCAATGGAATAAAAATTTCTAGGATTATTCTACATTCTTACCCAGTTGTTTTCTTGACTTTGTTTTAGAATGAATCTCTTCCGCATCATCTAATACAAGGTTCATGTACTCATCAAAGCCCTGAAAGATAAGTCAATTGATGATTGGTTTCAAGTTAGAGCACATCAAACCATTAAAAATTTGTGTTATCTACCTAGATACAGAATGCCAACTACAGAAATTCACCCCTTAGTGAACTCCCACTTGAATCAGGGAAAACGGAAGGACCATGTTTACCCCAAGCCTCTTTCCAAATGATACAGCGTATGCACTGAGCTGCTGGCCAAGGTCAGTGGTTGGAACGCAACAGCTGCTCTGCGGGCTGAAGGATTTCTCCCCTAAACACTGACAGCCTCAAAAACCGACAGAAGCCGTTTTCCGCTGGCCCGTACGGTTGCTCTGAGGTAGATTGAACTCTACCTCAGCAAATTTGGGTTCTTTTTTTAATCCATATGGAGGACATGTGTCCATCTAACAATTGGCAGCAAATTTGGGTTCTTTTTTTAATCCATATGGAGGACATGTGTCCATCTAACAATTATGTTCAACTACCACTAACCAAATGGAGGAGTGAGGCAGGGGTGATTGCTGATAAAACTTATGATGCCATGCGGCCGCGTCTACAAGGGAAACCATATTTTATCTGTGGTTTGGAGTATTACACTCTATGAATCGCCTCTTCTAATTCCATGCTTTCTTCTGAAGGAGCGCTGACAGTCCTGTGGACAAATGCTTGGATGCTATGCAAAACAGTGAGATGCTTCTGCTGCATTAACACCTTTAGCCTTGAAAGCCGATGCAGTTCTGTTCTATGGAGTCACTATGAGTCGAAACTGACTTATGGCAACGAGGTTATCTCTTTTGTGCCTTCCCCTAAATGTTAGTATTGTCCCTCGTTTTAAAAATTACTGGATCCCAACAACTACAACAAGGAAACAAGGTATCTAATCCATCCTGAAAAACGTTTCTTGGCTTGAATCTTTGACTTTTTGCATGTTATTCTGCCTGGCTATTTTCAGTGAGTCACTTCTTTCTGAACAAACTACGGAGAGAGAAAACGTCCTGGGTACTCACTATGATACAGCCCTCTATCCGCATATTCACTTGCTCGTAGAGCCACACCTGAATCCGGGATCTCTGAAATCATTGTAAAGAGAACAATTCACAATCCAAGCACGCTGGTTAAACAGTTTTGGAACTACAGCTCCTTACATTAAAAAACAAAACTTTTGGGTAGACATAACCAAGAGTTTTAACCAGCAGGCCCAAATCTAAGAATTACTTGCCCCTAAAAGCTTTTCAGGTAATAAATGGCATGTTGTGACCATCCAGTTTGGCAAATTGCCTTTCATCCTGGAACTCGCTCATATCTCTTACTATTTAATGTCCCAAAACACGAAGATTGAACATTGGTGACAATGTGGCACAAACCAGTACATTTCAGTGGTAAAGATTAAGGAGTGTTCATTTTCAACTGCAAAACTGCAACCCAGTTTTGATGATTAGATATTACAATGCCTTGGAATTAACCTATTTTCCAACTGTGTTGTTTATTATACATTATACTTGGCAAGGACAATGGGACTATTTCCTTTAGGAGATAATGATAAAACCTGACTTGGTGCAAAGGCTGAGAAACATACCAATAATCCCAACCTTACCTCTAAAAGGAAATCAGGCTGCTATGAACACCCTTTGAATCTACTGCTCTCCTGTCTCCCCAGCCCACCATCCACCATATTTGCTCCCCCCATAAACACTAAATACATAATCTTATAACATAAGCCCATCGGGTGCTCTTCCAAGCAATGCTACACCCTTTGCCAACCGTTATGCGGAGACAAGGAAAAAAGGTTCCCATATTCTGGCCGTAATCACAACAAAAGCACCAATGCCCAAATAAATACATTTCCTCACCACATCTGCCAGTGAGTAACTTTTGAAATTAGTGATTTTGTCTTTACAAAGAAATGACCACTCTTTGCACGCTCCAAGTTGGCAGCGGTAGACCCTTTTGTCACGTTCTTTGTTATTTGTACGCTTTCTCTGCAACCATCCTTTCCATCCTCCCTCCACCCTCAGCTCTGTTCATCTATTTTTAATGCTAGAACATGCCAAGCCAACTGACCCACACAAGTTTAATAAACCTTTACTCAAAACATTTACGAAACAATCAGCAACAAAGAACTTACGTACATTTTGCAAGTATCTGAAGATGAGGTTCTGCGCCACTTCGTTAAGGGAAAAAACAGTAATAACACGGGTTCTGCTTCCTAAACTGACCGGTCTCACCTAATTTCACCGTTTTGGGGTGTGCTTT